CAGAGCTACCTTACAGCTTGTCTCCTTTAAGCTCCCTCAGATCACCTTCCTCAGCTCTTCAGCCTCATTTTCACTTATCCATTATTAGGATTCCAAAACACACACATCACAGGAAGATCAAATTTTAACCCTTCAGTCCCATCAAATGTAGAAATAACTGTGGGTCTTCCCTTCATGACAAAAATACCCTGTTTTCAACAATTCTTAATTACCACAGAAAATCTGACAAAGGGAACATATTCATAAATCCAGGTTTTCAAAATGTCTGCAACACCTTCCAAAGGATTCCAATTTTACACCTGCTGGAGTTACTTTATTGGATTTTAACAAGACTTAAATCCAGCAATATCCCAACATTTGCTTTTTAACTGCTTTCTGGAGCCCTTATTGCTGTGCCCACCCCCAAATACCAACAAGCAAGTCAACGTGGGACACCTGGCTGTATCCCTATTTTCTGCCACTTTAGGCCAGCACTAAAAACCCTGCAGAGAATTTACAAGTTATTATTTCCATGGCTCCTTACAAATTACACTTCCATAACGTCCCCAAAAAAAAGTATTTTTTTGGCTAACACATAAAAAAAAAAAAAAATTCCCATGTAGGCATCTAATTCCAGCACCCCCACTAAAACTGAGAGTAAGATATACATAGCAAGAGACACCACATCTTGGCTGCTTCCAGATGGCACCCATGAATATTGTCAGTACTCCCTAGCTGGGTTCAAGACAGAAAATTCCTGCATTTCTAAGAATATACCGGGCAAGGGAAACATCACCCCCTGAAACCAGTACACTCAAAGCCCCCAGACAGCCAGAAATATTCCATTGTATTTCATGAGACTAACAAATCACAACATATTCCACATCTCTCCAATAAATGCAGTGGGCAAGTATTAATACATTCATGCATTAATTCATTTGTAGTTAATACAAATGAATACCCTTACAAGACATGAATTGCCATGAAATCATTTTAGAAGGTCAGCTGTTAAAAAAAAAGAGGCCAAGATTTGATTTTTATGTTCACAAAATTATTTTTAAGTGTGTATTTCTATTCCAAGGCTAACCATCTCCTTTCTCTCTACTCAGAAATCCTCTACTATTTTAATAAAAATGCAATATTCTGCCTAAAAATCTGTCCACATTTTTGGACTAGGAAGCTTTCCACAGTAATTTACGTTGATTATTTTGGCATCTCAAGTAAAGGTACTGCTCATAGCCAGCTCAAAGCTTTTAAAAACCTCTTAATGTTCTGCTCAACTACCAGTTGGCTCAAGCATCTATGGATTCTGCATATATTTCTGTTTGGTGAAAAACAAATCCACACTCACAAAATCCCCAGCACACTGGACACCCTGTGAAGAAATAATAAATTGAGACACTATGTTAAATAGAAACATAGGGGCTTGGGGGTATTTTTGTTTTTTATCATGACCTTGGCTAATGCTAGTTCCAACTTTATCAGTGGGGAGAAAAAAAACATTTTGAATGGAGCATGTATTCTTTTCATTTTCAGTCTGCACTTGAAGCAACCAAGAGGCTCCCTTCAAAAAATGTCCACTTTATCTTCAGTCACATGCTTAAGAAACATTTCATTAATGCAAGCAAGCTGCTTTCAAGGTTATCTTTTTTTTTTTTTTGCCACATAACCAGTAAAATTTTGTACAAAAAAAGGACCCCATCTAAAATTCTGCCATGACCACAGGCATTAGAGACTCCAAGGACAACTCACCTAAGGGTAATTCAACAACTGGATGCTCAATTTCCCAGTTCAACTTGCTCACAACAGAGCGGCGCTAAATGCAATTGCTGAGACAATACGGTGTGCCATATGGCTAAAACTGGATATTAAAATTGAGAATATCAATTACCAATCCACTAATGCTGAGAGCCAAAATCCATGGACAGTAAGAATTTAATCCAATTCAGTGCCTAGAACACGAGCTGAGCCCGGCGTGGAGGAGACAAATCTTCTGCTGGTTTCACAGAGCGCAAACAACTCCCATTTTTTATTGCTGTAACTACAAAACCAGCTGAACCCAACACTTGCTTAACATCCCCAACCACAGCTCCAGGCCTGGTAGGAATCTACAAAAACAACAAAAGTTTCAGATGAATTGGCATCTGGTTTCACAGGGATTGAGAAATCATAACTAAGTTACTATTTAAGAAGAAGCAGTTTAGTTGTTTTCCACATGACCAAATGGAAGCACCAGGAAGTTACACAGTGCAGCCAACATCTTGCTTCATTTCAGGAAAAGGCATCCTCCTGCAAACACAATATCTATTTCTACTATAATTAAAGGGCCTTGGAATTGCATTAGTTGAAGGGTTTTCTTATTCTAAGTAAACTGGTTGAATGGTTCAAGCTTTAAAGTTTTTAATAGCTGTGGAGGGTTTCTTCTGGGATGATATTAAGAATTTTATCCACTCCCTGATTATACAGAACTTCATTGATTACTTATACAAGAATTCTCATTAAGTCCAGATACAGCATCTCCATATTTCCATGAGAGACAGAGGTGATTTAAAAAACTGTTCTGCTAAGATTTCCTGTGGAATTTTAATTTACCATGTTGTCAAAGATTTCATGCTAGGATGCCTGCTACGTACTGACTTAGCAGCTGCAAGGACTCAACAAGGATAAATGTAATTTATCTTACCCAAACCAAAATCTCACTTCACTCTGCTCCTTTCTGATCCTGTACTAAAGGGCCAAAGTAGTAGAAACAAAAAAAAAAATTGCACAAGTAATTTAAGGTTTAACAGGACATTAACATCAATGGAACTAAACAGCTCATTGGACAGTATTCTTAATTTTTAAAAAATGTCCTCAGAGGAATAAAATGCACTCAACTAATTTCAGCTATTTTTTTTTTAATTAAGAATAATACCAGCACTGCAAGCCTCAACTGAAAATCAGCTCTGCTGTTCCCAGCTTCCTTCTGCATGATCTACAGCTGGGTTACTACAATAAACTAACAAACAACTGATTATACATTAAGTAATAGATAAACAGTAGTAAAATGTTTGATAATATCAAAGGTTTGGAGGTCACTTGAATACAGGAGACATAACAAGCATTTCTTATTTTTCTTGCTGGGAAGTGTATTGTTTTAAGCCTGAGTCCAGTATATCAAATATTAACCAAGCTATTTTATTTAGGCTACCAAAGTTAAGGTGTTTGGCACTGTAGTGAAATATCACAGGAGCTACAAATCAAAAGTCCATTTTTCTCAAAAGATACTAAAATCCACACGTAAAAGGCTTTAGAAATTTGCAGTGTTGTTTTGAAACAGACTACTCAGAGCTGTTTTAAGATCCCCCCCCCCAGCCTTTCTTATTCTCACCCATTAAAAGAACAGTTACCCAGAGGATGGCAGCAATTCTGGGTCAGCAGCAGCCTTAAACCCTCCACAAACTGTGAGTGTTCTGAAGCAGACAGCAGACTCTCTTGTGCCACACAAAGACACCTGTCTGCACAGGCTCTGATCTGAGATTACCTGGCCAGCAGAGACCCACGGCCCAGCAGCCTTTGTGTACCTGTGCTCTACGATTAAAAACTGGTTTTTAGCAACAGGCTTCATAAAAGCCAGGGACATTTTGGTGGTGTTGAGCAGGCACTGCGAGGTAAAAATGAAAATCGTGTCCCCCTTTATTCATTTAAGGGCCTATGTGAACATTTCAATAAAACTATTTACTCCTCCCACCTAGTTCCTATCTGGAGGAGCTCACAACATATTAAGAAAAAAAACCCAAAAAACCCACAGATTTCTCACAGCAATCTTCCAAACGCTCCTCCTACCCCCACCCGAGAAGAGAAGAAAGCAAAGAGAATGAGAAAGTAAATCTAAAAGACAATTACGAAATAAGATCTAGTTTGGCAAAGCTGGGGTGAGGAGGAGTTGAAAAATGAGAGCTGCCTTGCTGCAAACGCCATCTTGTTGCAGCTACTGGGCCCAGGCACAGAGAGATCCATTCATTCACAGCAAAAAGAAAATCAAACAGACACCCTGGCTAATCTGCAGCCACCAAAACAACCACACTATTATCACCCCTTCTCCTTCTCCTCTCCTCAAGCACAAGGGAGAGAAATAAACTCTGATCTATCACATTTAGGGACGGATTTAGGTATTAACATGTTATCTTCGTTTCCTCACGCGTATTTCACATACACATCGGCAGCATTTTGTCTTGATTCACATCCTCGTGTCCAGATCAGCTTAAAATATGGGATAAATGTCTCACGATTAGGTGCAGATATCCCACAGCAGCAAAACGTTTTTAATTTTTCAGTCTTAAATCGCCTCCCCAAGTTGAGCCAACTATTCTCAAAAGCTGTTTCAATAATCACTTAAGCCTTACATTTACAGTGCTTTCCTCCTATTTCCTCCTGTGGAGACAATACATAATAACGTGGCACATCCTAGAAAGGATGCCTGGTTTAAAACGAGTCCCAGCCATGACTTTGTTAGAGAATAATGAAATATCACATTCGTTAAAATTTCAGTTCATCTTCAGGAATGATAAATTGACATCTTACAACAACCTCTACATCATCCTGATTTTCTTCTGGGTAAGATTTTTTTGTTAATAAAATGCCTCATCTCTTTCATATTTACATGCAAGGCTTTACACATCTTCGTTCCCTACAAAGCTGTAGGATTAAAACCCTACATGGATAAAAAAAAATGCTGAAATCCTTTCGATAAAAAGCTCGGAATTGAAGCAATATTTTAAACAACATTTCCACGGAGAAAACTCCATCTTTCTATTACAGCAAACACCCTCCATGATCTTCGTTATCGCTGCTACGGGCACACAAAAATATGCAGCACCGTAATACATGGGGGAACAAATATGCGGTTTGAATCCATCCTCGGTTCCGGTTCTAACGAGAACAAAACCTTCCCTACCCCTCCCTCGCCCAGCACACCCAGCATGAGCCCCATCTGCGAGCCCTCGGCTGGCTGGGGGTGCTGGAAGCAGCCTTACCCTGTTTGTCTCACCCCCGGCTCCTCTTAATCAGTTTTCCACCATTACAGCGGCCACACCATTGCTTTTTGTTTTTTTTTTTTCCTTTTTTTTTCCCCTTGGATCTCTCTCCAGATATTCCCTCTGCCGGCCGGATCGCTCGGGAACTCGCCTTTTGTGGCTTAAGACAGGACCCCCAAACCGTCTAGCAGAGACCCCTACAGCGTAATTATAATTAAAAATGGAACCCCGCAAGATCCGAGGTCTCCTCCCTTTTCGCCTGGAAGCCTTCGAGAGGGAATCAGTCCCACCCCCACCTTTTTCCCCTCCTCCTCCAGCTACAAACACACTTCTTTTTTAGGGGAAGCTGGAGCCCCGAGGAGGTGGGAAGCGCGGGGGAGGGGGGCTATTTCCAACCCCGCCATACCGGGGGTCGCCGAGAACGGGGGCGATGAGGAGGCGGCGGCCCGGGGGGCCCCCGGTGCGGCGGCGGAAGGGGAGGACAAGGGAGGAAAGGAGAGGGAAAGGAGAAGTGCGGCAGGAGGAGGAAGCGCGGGGGAGGGGAAGGAGCGGGGCTGAGGGGGAGCCGAGGGAAGATGGCCCCGGGGTGGGGCCGGCCGGGGCTCGGCGGGCGGGAAACGCGTTCTGAGGGACCCCCGCCCTCCCCGCACCCCTCACACGGTTACCTGCCCTCCCGGCCGCTGCTCATGAACCGGGCCGGTCCGTCCGCCGCCCGCGGTCCTGCCCGCGTCCCGCCGGCCTGGGGAGGGAAGGGGGGCGGAGGAGGAGGAGGAGGCGGCGGAGGAGGAGCGGGGGAGCCGCCCGCGATGCGCCCGGCGGGTCCCGGGGAAGGCGGCAGAGCCGAGCGGGAAGGTGGGATCCGCGGGGGAGAGGGGGTGTCGCTGGGTCTCGACTCCTCCTCAGCCCGCTCAGCTCCCCGCAGCCATCGGGCAGCGGCAGCCTGGGCGCGGCGAACCTCCCTCCTTCCCCTCCTCCCTCCGCCCCGCCCGTGCTGCCCGCCCGGGAAACCCCGGCTCGGGGCTCCGCCGCACCGGCCGCCGCGAGCCTCACCGGAGGCTCCGCCGCCTCCACCGGGCACCCGCCCAGCGCGGCCGGGAGGGAGGGCGGGCGGTGCGCGCTCCCGGGAGCCTCGCGGCGCGCGCTCCCGCGCGGGCAACGCCCTTCGGCCCCGCACGCTGGCGGCGGCCGCGCGCTTCCCGCCTCCCGCCCGCGCTCCCGCGCGCTCCCTCCCCTCAGCGAACAAAGGGCGAGGGCGGGCGGCGGGCAGGGGGATCGCGGCCGCCCCGCCGGCCCTGCAGGCCGAAAACGAGTCTGAAAGAGCCGGACGTGAACAAAAAGACACGAAACTGAGCGCGCAAATGGTGTTCAAGCTCAGGGCTGGGAGAGGCAGAGCCTCCTCGCCGTGTGAAATGGGAGTGCTCCGGGCTGCCGAGCGGGAAAGGGCGGGAGGGACCACAGGCCTTAAAATGCTGCTCACAAGAGGCTGGCAAGCAATAAATATCTTCATATCATCGTGTGAGGAGAGACTGCGGGAGCTGGGCCTGGTTAGTCTGGGAAGGGAAGGCTGGGGAGGGATCTCTTTAATGAATAAAAATATCTCCGAGGGGTGTCAGGGGATGGTGCCAGGCTCCTCAGCGGTGCCCAGCGACAGGACGGGGAGCAATGACTGTAAACTAAAGCAGAAGTTCCTCCTCGGCATGAGGAAGAGCTTCGTTCCATGAGGGTGGCAGGGAGTCTGTGCACGGGGTCTTCCTTTGTGGAGCCATCCCAAACCCACCTTGACATTGTTCCTATTTCATCTGCTCCAGGTGACCCTGCCTCGGCCAGGGTGATCTCCAGAGAGCCCTTCCAACCCTCACAAATCTGTGATTTGGTGATCTTTCCCTCAGGAGCTTGACAAATAGCAACTCTGTAGGTTAGAATTTCTTTTTTTTTTTTTTTTTTTTTCCCAGCTTTGCTTATTAAGGTACTCACGCAGCCAAAGTTTCCAGAGCATTCTTTTCATGTTCTCCTCACAGCATCCATCACTGCTCTGGAAGGGTTTGCATGTAGGAGAAAGTAGGAAAAAAATAATAAGGAAGCATAAAATTGCAATTTCTGTCTTGCAGATGGGACCTCACATAAACCAGGCAGGAGGCATGTTACCAAAATGGAATCATTTCCCACCAGAACTCGTACTGAAACCCTAATTAATATTGAAAAGTAAGTAGAGAATATACTATTATGTCACTTTTCCTCCTATCACAGATCTAAATCTGGGGTTTTTCCCTAATATTTGTTTATACATTGCTAAAAGGTGAGATTACTTGGCAACCAAAATAGGTTTATAGTAAAAGTAAAACAACCCACAGCACTATAGCCAATTTTCAATTAAAACATATCCAGCACGAATACACTGTAATAAAATAAACAAAAGACCCCACAACACACAAAAACCCCTCAAACACAACAAAAAACAACCAAAAAAGGATGAACGAGGCCAATATTTCTTCTTCTGCAAACTCTTCCCCCAGTAGATTCTTGCTTCCCTATAATTTAAACCAGTGTTCCTTCTGTCATGCCTTCTGAAGGGAGGTGTGGTTACCTTTAATTAGTAAAAGAAAGAGCAGGTTTGCCATTTAAACTGTAGGAAAGTGGATTGGCTATTATTCAGGTTGGCTGTTATGAAAAACTATTAGATCCTGGTGTGGTTAAGCCTTTGATTTATAATGATCAAATGTTTATTTTTAAATAACTTTTATGATGCACTTAATTCATCACCTTGAGATTTACAAATAACAAAATAAGAAATTTACGTAAATTATTCTTAAATTACTGTCCCAAATTGCTAATGTTCTTTCCAGTAACCATTTCTGTTCCACCCCTGAAATCTGGACAGGAATTATCCTGTTAAAATCTGTGCAACCACATTGTATGCAGATGGGGATGTCAGTGTTTCTGAGGCTAGAGATTCATCCAGCATCCCCATCTGGAAAATACTGATTAAATCTAAGTGCTTAAGAAACACCACAAGTTTATTAGATACTTGCAAAGTTGCCTACAGATTTCAAAAGCAGTTAAACACAATATTTTAGTCATTAAATCTAAGTGAGATTTATAGTAGGCAAGTTGCATGTTGTTTTTTTTTAATTTTTTTTTTAGTTAGAGATTGCTTTTTAGGCTTAGCAGAGGTCAAAATATCCTTATGGAATACCCTGTTTATGTGGAAAAGAATGACCACTTAATACATTAAGCAAAAAAAGGTACTATACATAAAATATTTTCTTTAAAAGTCCTTGTTTTGCAATGGAAAAATTCTCAATCATAAGAGATTTTGTGGAAAATTTTCAGCTAGTACTGGATCATACAGTAAAAAAAAAATCTGTGTAATGAACAAAAATAACGTTCTGAGATTGATAGCAAATAGTAAATCACATTTTGCTTCTTTGAGAAAATAGCTGCACTGAGATTTTCTTACTGGACTAGAACAGTTGCACTGTGAATTAATGATATCATAAATTACATAATTATAATTGATATAATTTTCAACTAATGCGTGCTTTTTTCCCATTGCACGTTCTTTTCACACAGATGCTGCTTTTCCTCCTTAGATTTCTCTTACATCCTCTTACCAGTGGTACAGTTCTAATAACTAAACATGGTTTGGGTTATTTTTAAAATAAAATACACATTCAGGTCTTATCCTCTCCTAGGAATCTCTATTTTTTTTTTTTAATTCTAATTTTTATGCATTCTCTGTTTCGTGAGAGCTAAAGGGAGTTTCTGTCCACAGGTCTGTGCTCTGCCATGTCTTCAAATCCATGGAATTTGGGTAAGGAGCTGGATCAGTCAGAAGAGTTTATAGCACATTTACACAAATTCAATGCTTTCACCACACCTATTCTTTTGTAAAAATACAACTGTTGCAATAGTTCCTGTTTCTGATCCAGTGACTTCACTACATCTTGTTCTTAGTTTGATTGATGTACAGTTACTCTGCAGTTTTGGGGAGGGATCTTGAGGGTTGGAAATGGTTGTTTACAGAGGGGAGCTTGTTCAGGTGGGCTTTGGTTTGTAAATCTCACTGGACAAATCAGTTTTGCTGCATTTTAAAACCTGGCAGAGGAATCCCACATTGCTGTGTGCAACAAGGTGATTTATTCTGCTGTCCTCATATGATCCTGCTGCACAGGCATTATTTTTATTTTTTAAATTTCTTTTTCATTTTTAATCCTAATTCTTCACACAGATCCATGATCTGCCATGGTTTGCATTGTTCAGTAGATGAATGTGCAAATCACCAGAATTAAGTGGACTTACCAGATATAAATTTCTCTCTTTCTGTACACTGCAAAAATACTGTTTAAAACTACAAATTTAGCTGAAAACACCTGTGAATACTTGAAGATCTGGTATGGATAATTAATGAAACAAATTTTAATGTTTTTCTGTTAGTCCACTTTGAAGTTACAGTTTTGGTCCTGGGTTAGAGCTACAGAAAACCTCTCTGTAGAAAGGTTGCTCCACAGTTCTCCATTGCACAATTTCTTGCACCTTTTTCTCAATCAGCTGACATTAACCCCTTTGCAGGGAGCATCCTGAGTTAGGTGAAGCTTTGGGCAGTTTCACTTCCTAAGGTAATTAATTTTTGCATGCAAATACCATTGTTATAATCAAAATTTACGTGTTGTTACCCGAGTGAAAATATTGCACGATTCTTACAGTAAATCAAGATGCTCCTGGGCTCTGAAAGAATAACTGTCACCAAACAGGTATAAATTATGCTTTCTACAAAAGGGTGAAAAATCAGCACTTCTCAAAATTGCAGAGCTCCTCAGAGGGTGTAAGGATATTGCTGAAGTAATAAATAATTATGTTTTCCTCCTTTCTTTGTTACCTCAGATAAGTGTTTTTAATAGACTGACTCAAAACTGCACCTCATACTCCAGAATCACACCATTCCCATTCCATAACATTTTGTCTGCCTTTGTATCCTTTGATGGCTGCAGAGTGCATTCTATGAACCCTGGAGAGAGCCAAGGAGACACTCACGTGATTTTGAATTAGTTTGAAGTTCTCCATTTGGTCCCTAAAGAAAAGGAGAACTCTCATTTCTCCTGACATTGCACCAAAATTAAAGGAAGCTTATACAATGTCTCAACTTCAGCTGTGCTTCAATCCTGAGTCTGTTCAGAACTCTTTTTTTTACTATTGTTTTATTTTTTAAACCCTAATTCAGAGCTGTTCCAACCTGCTGTTATTTGCCACTTCTTTAACAATTGGATGACAATCATCACTGCTACCTTCTGAGGAAGGACCCAGGTAGCAGAATCTCAAGATTATTCATTAGAGAAAATAAATAAGTAAAAGCAAACTGAACAGAAATCCTCAGTGGGGCCAGGCAGAGCAAAAAGTAGGAGTAGCTCAGTCTCCTTAGTTACATTCTGCATTCTCACAGTTTCTTTCAGTTTCCCTATTATTATGGAACAAAAGAGTTATTTTAAACACTTCTGAGAACATGGCATAAAATTAGCAAAACTGTGTTAGTCTGCAGAGAATATAATTGACAAGGTTTTAAGGTAAGGAGAGCTGGTTCTGAGAGTCTTTGTGTCAAATAGCAAAGTCCATACACCTGAGTTTATAACTGATGCAGTCATGGAATTCCTGAATTCCAGTCTTGTGGGGAGGGTCAGGGTGGGTTATGTGTGAAATGAGTCAAAGACAGCTAGTTCAGAATTGTTGAGAGACTTTGGAAGTCACTTCAAAATCCTTTGGAAAAATCCATTGCTGTGTAAGGGAAGCAGCAGAGTTGTGAAGGCCCGGAGCTTTCCTGGATGTGTTCCTGGGAATGTTATAATCATGTCTCTTACATGATTGTCTTGGAATATTTTGTCCTCAACAGAGGCAGAATTGGAGCAGGACACACTGGGCTCCATGTCCTTAAAAAGGCATTATCTCTAGTTCTGTTTTCTCACAAATTCTAATCTTGTTTTCTCACAAATTATGGCTGGAGGTGCTGTCATTTCCAGGGAAAAAACCTTGCTCCTATTCCCTTGTGACCCATTTAAAAAAATCAGTGCCACAGGTATCCCTCACTTCAACGATAATACAAATTTATTCCTAGTTCCTATGTTTGGCAGAACTTGTAGCATTTTCCAAAGGCAAAAAATTACAAATACTGTTGTCTTAGACATAGGAGCTGATGCAGAGTGATGTGAAATTCTTTGGCCACCAACACCCAGCACTTTATGGAAAGAAGGGAGATGAAATGTTGGTGTTGCTTGAACCTGGATCTGCTGTTCCTCACAGTCAGCACCTGATTTTATGCTGTGATACAATCCTACAGTGTGACACAAATACAGACTTTGGTAATCTGTGTGGATACTTATTCAACAAATCACAAAACTTCTCTGCTGGGAGAGCTGTCTTCTGAACTTTTCTTTTTTTCATCTTTCAACTCTGAAGCTTAAACAGGTTGGTATGAGCAATGCTTATGCACTTACCCCTTGTGACCCATTTAAAAAAATCAGTGCCACAGGTATCCCTCACTTCAACGATAATACAAATTTATTCCTAGTTCCTATGTTTGGCAGAACTTGTAGCATTTTCCAAAGCCAAAAAATTACAAATACTGTTGTCTTAGACATAGGAGCTGATGCAGAGTGATGTGAAATTCTTTGGCCACCAACACCCAGCACTTTATGGAAAGAAGGGAGATGAAATGTTGGTGTTGCTTGAACCTGGATCTGCTGTTCCTCACAGTCAGCACCTGATTTTATGCTGTGATACAATCCTACAGTGTGACACAAATACAGACTTTGGTAATCTGTGTGGATACTTATTCAACAAATCACAAAACTTCTCTGCTGGGAAGCTGTCTTCTGAACTTTTCTTTTTTTTCATCTTTCAACTCTGAAGCTCATGCTTGGTATGAGCATGCTTATGCACTTAGCAAACACCAATTATCTTTTTTTTTTTTTCATTCTATTTAAACAAATCCATCTTGAGAGAGCCAAAAGAATAGCTTTGAGTGTTTTTTTCCTAGAATCAGAATTGTATCAGAGCTCTTTTCCATGTGCTGGGGATTATTCTGGTTTTCCTTTGTACTCAGGTATTTATTATGAGTTTACATTTTTGCTGTACCTTTAAACTTGCAAGCTGTAGCTTGGCTTTTAAAGGTCCTTTGTTGCTCTTGGAAAATAATATAATAACAACACAGGGAATTGTTATAATCATCTTAGAATGCATTGTGTGTTTACACACATCTGTAAACACACCCAACCCATTGCACACATGTAGGTCTTCCTTTAAGTAGGTAACATTTGGGTTGCATGAAGGCTGATCAAGCAGTTTGAGCTTAAAGCCTCATATTTCCCCATTAAAACCTCATATTTCCCCATTAAAGCCTCATATTTCCCCACTTAAAGGGACTTTCCTCAAGGGGTTCATTGAGCAACAAACAGAAAAACAACTGGGACCCAGGAGATGCTGGGAGTTTAGAATCCACACTGAGAATTCAGCCTAGCTACTGAACTTTCCATGATGTCAGACACACCAGACCTGTGGTGAAGTTTGAAATACCTTAAAGACAAGAAAGAATTTGCTCACCTTGCTGTGTGTCAGATTCCCATGGAGCTTCCATCCCATTCTTGCATCCTTGACAGAGCAGTGTGGGAAAGTGGGCACAGCTGTGTGTCCTAAGGAAGCTGCTGCCAACCATTTCTGTTCTCTCAAAGAGCCTGACCTGCAGCTGAAGGAGAACTTCAGTGCTGCTGCAAACAAAAATGCAGCTATAAAACAAAAATATTCATGGTCAGGGGACTTGTGCCACTGTCCTTGGAGAACCCCTGTGAAGTCAAACAAAGCCTCATTGCCACAGAGAAGGTGTGCTTGGAAAGTTCAGTAGGCATTAATGGAATTGCAGTAGGTAATAAAATGAGTAAGTTCAGTGATGGTTACATCCCATACTCCAAAAAGAAATATTTATTTGGGAAAATGTGCTGGAACCAAGCAAAACACAGTTCAGCTGCTGCTCAGAATGAAAGAACTTACAGCCAAGTTCTCATGTCCTTCAAGCAAGGGGCTGGGCTGCATTCTAAATGCACAAAAAAGAGAACTTTCCTGTGATCTCTGGGATCTTACAGTTACAGTAAATATCCCAAATCTTAAACCATTTGTCAGCAATTCTGTGAAACCCTTCCTTGGGAGGACCTGGTACAGAGAACATGCTTATAAAATTCATTTTTCCAAGCAGCAAAACAAAACTTATATAAAGTGTGACATCTCTCTAGCCACTGCTCAAGAGAACTGACCAAGTACAAACAGCCAAAACAGTTGGATTTTCAGAGTCTGAATGAATGTTTTAATAAATAAACAGCATGTGAAATTTAGATTTATACAAAGACAATTACATATAATGGAAAAAAATAAGCCCCTCTACATGTATAGTTTTGCTTAGTCAAGCCAAAATATTTATTGAAGAAATAATTTTGATGGGAAATATTTTTATAAACCTTAAAACACAAACAAGTCTGGACTAAGAAGTTGCAAAGAGTCAAGAAATACATTAAAAAATAGATACTCCAAGTAACATAAACCTCCCCCTTTCCCATTGATAACATTGTCATGAACAAACACAAAGCTAGGAAGAAAACCCATAAAAACCCAGTGTTCTCTAAAAATCTGTAACTTTTCACTCACTGAACAATCCTGTTTCAGACCTGAGAATAAAACCTACTTGTAGGTGATTATTGTGTGTTGAGAGGTGATGCTTGATTAAAAGACATTTTTACTCAAGCACTGTCACAGCTGGAAATCAGCTCTTCCATTTCTGGTGGTGTTGTGCCAATCCCATAAAACAGAAAGGCCACTGGGCTTTTGTGGTTTCTGCCACAGTGCTGCCAGTAGGGATTTGAATCAGAATTTTTTTTT